CTCTCTCTCTCTCTCTCTCTCTCTCTCTCTCTCTCTCTCTCTCTCTCTCTCTCTCTATCTCTCTCTCTCTCTCTCTCTCTCTCTCTCTCTCTATATATATATATATATATATATGTAATATGATTCTCCTGATGTATGGAGCTGAATCAATTTCAGAGCCTTCCTCTGTCTTCCGCTCATTACTGTAGGTCAGAGTCTCCTTAATGACGCATTCAAAAGAAGTGCACATAATAATCGAATACATATTTCAAAACCAGATTTTGAAGAAGGCGAGTTTAAATATTCAGTGACTAGCAATGAGCGCAACCTGAAGACCCGACCTTCGCGTGTGAGCGCAGATGACAACCCAATTTGCAATACATTGAGAACCCGGCTTTGTACAGCTGCATGTCGTCAATCGATGCTGACCTAGCTATTCGAAGAAAAAGCCCTCGCCATCAAAATCCGATATGTAATTGAAACAGGCGTAGTTCATATGAGCTCGCGTGTTGCGTTCGGGAAACCTTGAGGGAATATAATGCCCACGCAACACGGGGCATGTTTTTTTTCCTGCTTTGGACCCCTCTGTTCATTGGGTTGCGACCATCACCGTAATATTCGGACGCATCTCCGACAACGGTCAATATCGCTAACGAGCTTTCCTTAATTTTCAGTCATAATCGAAAGTTTACCAAGTTATATATCTCCGACGTACCGTGACGCACGTCCGCAATATTCTAGGTAAACTCTGCAGCCATTTTTTCCTACCTGCCGCAGCCCTCGAGCTCGATGCTTCAATTTCCACGTAATAATTATTCAGCAATACACTTTCCCTGATCCCTTGCAAATTTCGCTCGTTATAGCCCTCACATCGCCTCCGAAATACGACGAAATTTTGGCAGTGCATCTACTGTACTTCCATGGAGACTAATAGAGCGAAGTTCCTATAGAGAGAGCATTACGGCCAGCGAAGGGTCTTAAAATGTAAGTTAACGTCAATTAAGCGCATCCGCATGAGCAGAGAGTGAATATCTCGCTCCAGATTTAATGCTCGAGACATTAAACCCCGATGCGCTGGTTGAAAAATGTTCGCGGATGATGTTACGGAAGGATCCTTGGCAAGCAATGAGGGATATATCCTCTGAAAGCCGCACCTTACTCCAAAATGAATTCGCGTTTCCTATACACGAGGATGAATGATATAATATAGTAGCGTCAAGTTCTAAGGAGGGCGAACCTTTTTCACTTGGCAAATGAAAAGAAGCGACTACTAAGAGATGGACAAAAACAGGGCGATACTTCAAGCTTTCTTGTTTTAAACGGGAATATTTTTTAAAATAATCATTCGTCAACTGCGATTAAATTGCAGTAATAGCCTTTGAATAGTCGTCTATTTTTATTCTACAGCAACGGTATTTTAGGACGTGTTTCACAAAAAAAGGAGGACCTCGGGTTCGAATAAGAACTCGGATTATTTTCGGATACCGAAAAAAGTTCGTGCAACTGTGTCTCGTGCAATCAACCGCATTCGTTACAGTAATTTTATGAGACATGCTTTGCATGAAACGCATTCTTTAAAATAGGTTAATCCGATGAAACTGGGAAATTTAAATGTTGAAAATGAAAGAAGAAGCGTGGCGGCATTAGTCTTTCACAACAATGCAGCAGTAGGTCTCTCTCGGGTCAATTAACCATCAGTTTCCAGTCTTATGCCTTCAAATTTCCACTCCACTAAATTTCCAAGTGTAACTACACAAAACTCGAGCAGTGCAGTCAAGAAATTGGTAGCATTTTCCCGAGAGATAAATTCAAATGAGAGCGTCACTCTTGGCTCGTAAAAAGTTGAGACATTCTATTGGAAGAGGAAGGCTTCGCTATCTCGATAGTAAATTGTTTCATGATTAATTGTTTAAGGCTATACGCGTACTTAGTCAAAAACATTTGCTATACGGAGCCTCCAAACTTTTTGACGCCACGGATGTGTAAAAGCCTCAATCCGGAAGTAAGCCCCGGTCACTTCATAGGAATGTGATGGTGAATAAAATTCCTTCTCCATCACATTAAGCAAACGTACGTAGACGTCGTTTCAAATTCATATTTCACTTGATGATAAGACCTTACTGAATTATTGTGCCATTTAAATGCCCGAGGAACTCCATGAAGTAATTTTCTCACCCAGGAAAACCACCGATACGTTTTTAGATCATAATCCCTGAATTTTTTTATTCCTTCCGCCGGGATCTAAAGCCTACTTTCATGGTAAACCGCAATCCATTGTTCGAGAGAAAGATCTGAGTGTATGGTTAAAAAAATTTCCTGCTGTTCTGTGATTTCTTAATGAGGTAATTTTTTTTAAGAATGCAGTCCTATTGAGGTAACCCTCTCCGGACCTTTTTTGATTTACGCGTTTGTTCTTCGATAAACATATCTTAATTTTCTTTACAATTTTCCCGACCTCCCGAATCATGAACCAAAAATTTAACCCTGTTAACATCAGCGGCAATTCCATTCCGTTGGTCGAAGGAAAAATGAGAACGCGGAGTTTTATCCAAGTCTTAGGCCAGATCTTCTGTATAGAGGAAGCATGGTGGTATTCCCATGTTAGGTCGAATAAAACAAGACAAAAAAACACGAAGGCCGGGGTTCAGATACAGCAGCAAAAAGTCCCTGAGCATGGAGCCCTGATAAATTGGAATGAAAGATTTATTCTGTCCAGACGGGCGCTGCATGGTTTCGTACGCTTCCATGCAGGCGAATGATCACGCGTTCCAGACTGGCTCCGGCTTCCATCGGGACCACAACCGGACAGCGAGTTCCGGAGGAATTGTTGCTGGTCACCGGAGGACTCCGGCATTCCAGCCGCGAGACGTAACGCTGGAACGCGCCCGAACAAAATAACAAAAATAAATAAATACAAAAGTTGCGGAACCATTTTTCTTGCGGCCGGGATTAACAATCTGGGGTTTTATCTCTCTCTCTCTCTCAGCCGCAAGATTTATGCTATTTTTCGGACCGCGAAAGCAAGGAAATTTCGCAGTCAGGGGGGCGGAAAAGTTCTCATGCCGCTCTACTTTGTCATGAAGCCAATGCCCGGGCTTATGCGGCGCATTTTCCAGGACCACAGAGGGACTGTGACGTCTAGACATGCGTTTCTTGTCCTGGATTCCATCGCTGGCAGAGGGACTGCATGTGCTATTCCGACACATTTCTGGATGACGGAAGACTCATCCACGCCAGAAACAAAAAGGCTTGACCCACGTTACACAAATGCTTCATTCTTTTCTCCCCTTTCCCCGCATTTCTTGCTTCCTTTCATGTGCACAAGTCTTCACTAGCGAAAAAATAAACCATCGAAAATTGAGAGGGGAAAAGACTGCGTTGTTCTTTTCAAGAAAGTATCTATCGATATGAATGCTGTAAGTATTAATATTAAACAGGAGACCCCAAGATTAGCTCTACCCCTCGAGAAAAATTAATGATTGAAGTGATGGTAATGCTTCATGCCAACATCAGACCAACAATACTATTTTCCCCTCTTGTCCGCTTTGAGTAGAAGCTAGTTCCCGCTTATATATGGTTTAGTTGCAAAACCTGATTCAGTCAAATTAGCCAGATGATGGACAGAACCGGATGAAACCGAGCAGGATTCTTCATGCGGGGTTGGCATCATCAAAATAGTCAGCAATTGTGGAAGTCGAGACCCTCTTCGACAAACTGCTTGCACCTGATTTAGTTTACTTTGAAACCCGAATAGAGAGGATGAACGAAGTGCGCGGAGACCACAGGAAAAAAAAATCTCGACTGGCTCTCGACAATTTTTTATGCAAAAGCTGCTTCACGTCACTCACCCAGAACGAATATCGTCAGGATCCGAAGTTTTTCCAAGACAGCGAAGACGGCCATCCTTTTTTCTTCTCTGCCTCTTGGGGAGACCAAAAAGAGAGCGCAAAAATGTCCACTCGTTGACGTCAACCTGATCCGACAGAACGTAAGCAAAGCAGCGCGACAGCAAGTCCAAGGCCCAAGATCACTGACACAGATTCGCTCGCTCGAGTTCTCGTCCAGCGCGGCCGGAAGGCGTCCAAGCGGAGCCGAGGAAACACTTGCAACGACTGAAGAGAGAGGCAGGGTAAAGCCCGAAGTTACCCCTCCGAAGCGCAGTGGGTCCCCCGCAAGTCGCGCGCCGGGTATCGCCAATAGCGGGAGGGATACGAGCCTGAGTTGGAGCTGTTCCCATACGCGTGTGTATAAAGATTGCATACAAGATGCATCTGATGAATTAAGATGATTCCTATAACAAATTAAAAATAAACATTTTTACGGGATCACGAAAAATTGAGTTATAGACGCACACGACGAGGATACTGGTTCGTAAAATGTTGAACATGTTTTAATGGAAACTGAGAATCTGATTACGCGCAATTGAGTTTCCACTGACGTTTTCGTTTCAACCCCGCATTTCTCGCTGAAAGCCGTACCTCTATTCGCTGAACTCTAATTAGTCCAAAGCATAGCTTATCCTCAGTTTATTTCCTGACCTACTTCTTTGCATATATCGACAAGAAAAATGAACAGGAAATCAGCTCATTGTCGAAATGACTCAGAGGAAACGATCACCACCTCGTGAGACACCAGAGCTTCAGCCTCCTTGTCATTTTGCTCCGGCGTCCACCTCGGGGACCGTCGCTGCGGAGCTCGACAGACTTTGCGGAAAAGTTTGCACTTACCGTAAACTCGTTCATACGAGCCCCACGGAGCATTCCTGGGTGAAGCCGGAGTTTAAACTTCCCACCGAGTGCTACCAGAGGGTGGTATAAATTAGACGACACCATTCCGAGGTCGCACTCGCACCACAAAACTTATAATCACCCTCCCAGTAAAAGTCGACGCTTTTTTTTCAAACGCCTTGATGATGCCACTCGCACGTAGAAAAACAGTCTAAAAATAAGGATCACGCATTAAACTCCTTAGACAGAAAGAAGCACCTCGCTAGATAGTAGATACTACGTATGTATGTAGTCACAAAACGCCAGTTCTTGACCTCGACATATGGTGCGAATCTGGGGGTTACGCCTAGCAGTTGGACGACCTCTAAACACTGATTCAACGGAGAAAAAAAAAACCTCCTGCTTTGGCCTTTGCTATTCACGGAAACGCCGTATACAAGCGCTCCGTAAACATTTCATATAGCTGAGAAGTTTTCGAAAAAAGAGTATGTCCATTTTTCCGCACAAAGGGGACGGAGGCATCCGCAGTTCCGCACTCATACATAAACAAAAAAAAACACACTGTCTCTCTCTCTCCCTTACTAACTCCCTTCTACAGTTTTGTTTTGTTTTTGTTTTGAAGGCTTAAATCAAGGAGGCAACGATCGGGAACATGTGTACAGTATACGTAAACTTCTGGAAAGCTATCCGAAGTGTTTCAACGGTAGAAAGCGCGGAAGCAGAAATGCAGCACAGTACAGTACAGTCTGGGGTTGGCTGAATGTGCGTGCTTTTTAAAAGGAATGAATTCGTACAAATGCAACGAGAAAGGCGAAGTTTTTGGTAAATTCAAGTACTCTTCTTTATGCACAGCCCGAAAATAATCCTTGGGGCTCACATAAACGCACCTGCCCAAGATTAGAAAACCAGCCCCACGGAAAATCCCTGACTTTTTGTAAGAACTTCTGGTTCAACGCAAATTTGTGGAGAACATATTCCTGCTCTCGCTCAGAGCAATGTCTCGGAAGTCCCCGCGGGGCTTGCTGGCGAGAAATGAAAAAAAGGCTTAATGCGTGCGAGATGACGGGAGTGTGATGAGTCAAAGGGGGAGAAAAAAATGGAGCTAAACCTTGTATTTCTAATTCCAGGTTCCTCGGAAGCGACGTCGCCTAGAACTGGGTAGGATGAAAGCCCAAGCGGGGCTGGCTTTAGTGGGAGTAATTTCTGGCAGTGTTCCTATGCTCGAGACATGAAGGCGGTTACTGAGAGCTGCGGATACACCCTGGCGCCCCGCTGTTGCCGCATCGATTCTTTCAATAGATTAATTACATTACTAGTGATTAATTTCCTAAAGGCAGTTTCGCTCATGTTACACCTTTCAACGCGTTCTTTGTAGCGTCATGCGTGTAATTCTTTTGAAAGCTTTTGAGACTTGCGGTGCATCAGCAAAATTCAGGATTCCTGTATCGCACGATGTGATGACACCCCACATGTTCAAAAAGATCAGAGAACATCAGGCTTTCTCCAAATGCATGTTTCTTTTTGAACATTGTAGAAAGCCTGGAATGATCCAGGCGTGCATTTTTTCCCATCCGAAGATTTTTTCTATCTCATTCCGTGCGGGGAATAAATGTTAATGCTACCCCTCTTATTGAGTTTAATCTCATTGTTCGACTTCGCATAGTGCTATACTTCATTTCTCCGGTAGGGGGGGGGGGGGTGGATCTAGTCTTTGAATAAGTCGCAAAACTATTTTCAGGTATTTCCCAAAATGCCTCAAACCCGTTCATTCCTTCATTTTCTCAGAGATTTCTCTGAATAATCATCGAGCTTTTATTGTGATTCTTCAAGTCCTCGTCAGTCATAAGTTGTCATTATTGAGTTTAAAATGCCTCCCAAGCCCAACAGGTTCCACGAAACATTCAGGTTTAATTCATAAATCCAGTGGTTTTGTCTGCAGAAAATAATCCCCGAATAATAAAATGCATCTGATCATTTGGAAGGATTATAGGACTGCATTTATTTTCTGCGAAGTAAAATTAACTCAATTGATTACCAAATACTTACTCTTGGTAAGTAATTCGAAGATGCGTACTAGACAAATTCAAACAAAACATGATGGCTACACGTAATTTCTGCATCCTTCTGATTAATTTCGAAAAAGAAGCGGAAGGAAACTATCAATCTCGATTTAGTACATCGGAATCGAGAGGAAAATGCTACTGATTCAGGTCAATTGAGAGTCTTGAATAACTGGAGCATTTTTTCATTCTAAGAAGCAATAATGTGAAGATGGGAATCGTCAACTGAGAACACGATTAGCACTGGGAAAACTCGTGATCGGCCTGAACCTGCGATCACGTGAACCACTCTCGTTCTACACAAAAGACTTCCAATCGGCTCAGCTATCCGGAAGTGGCTTTACTTCCCTCAATACGTCTTCCGAGTTCCGACCTAGAATGGTGGACTCATCAATATGCCGAACGGCACGAAGGAAATTAGCAGTTATTCGGAGCTCTCATCCCGAATGATATTTTCAATGCCAGGTTTTCAAACGGAATGCTCGAGCAGTATTATTTTCCCTGGTTTACCTTGCAACAAATTCATTGATGAAATAACGATAATCGAGTGTATAGTCGGATTTATGCGATTGCTTGGTTGAGTCCGCCGAATTTTGAAACATTCAACAGCAATTTAATGTGAAAATCTAGAATTTGCTTTTCGTTTCCCTATTTTCCAAAACCATCAAAAAGTGTATCGTCATTTCTTATTTTCTCAAATTTTGCTCTAGTGCAATCCTTTAGGAAAAAGTTGGGTGACGTCTGACGAGAGACGTAATTTTTGCAACAAAATTACCGGTAAATGATGATTTCATAACTACAGTTTAAAATTTGCTTTCAAAAATTATTGAGAAAAACAACTATCGAAAACTTCACTTAGAGGCAGGAAATAGGCTAGGTGTATCCGCCAAAATTTCTTTTCATCAATGTTCCGGGGGTCAAAGCTGTACCAGATATTGGAGTAAAAACTTTCTTAGCAATAAAGTTTAATCATAGATCTTGGAAACATATTCACATTTTTAAAAAGTCGTTCCAGAAATTTCAAAATTCACGAAGCTGGACGTGATGATTTTTATAAACTCTCAAGAAGTTGACAATGTCAGATGAGTCATTAATGCAGAAAATTATTTTGAATGAACACATGCTTGCTTCAGCTTTCATATTGTTGATTCACAGTATACCGTAGTTTGGAAGATTTTGACGGGAAAACTTGGACACCGTAAGATCTTCTGACACAACCTTTGATAGGTAAGTCGATCGACGTAAGGCGAACGGACGGTCATTAAATTAAATACACATCTGGTGAACGATTCATTTCAAGTGGATTCCCACAAAGAAAACTTCAATCTTTCATAAAAGATCATAAAAGACGCGGTACCAATCTCATTTTACATTTCAAAGTGAACTATAGCAACTGATCTGCGACAAACGAGAAAGCCTTCTCAAAGATTCAGCAGCGATCCAACTTCCAGAAAATAAAAAATTACGTATTCTGGACATGTTTTTTTTCTTAAACACTGCAAGATAACTTTGTATAGACGTTAAATCGTGTGTGCAAGTAAACGTAGTACGCTTATTTTATCGTACGTGTCGCATAGACAGCCACTTTTTCTCGAATCATAATTGAAAATCGTAGCGCCGTACTATGTACAGTATTTTCTTAATTTTTGTGTCACTGAATAAATATTCTTGAAAGAACTCCCTGCTCTGTATACACACAGTATATAAGCAATCAATTTTTGTTCCATTTTTGCATGAGAACCTATGGATTTCCGAGATCAAGGACCGAATCCGGTTTTCGTTATTTCCGACTCCCGAGAAGCATTTACATCCTTGAGCCAAACTAAAAAGAAAATATTCAAGGATTTTCAGCTGGATGCCTTAATATTGTCCCTTTTGCGAAGCGGAGAAAAGCCTCGTGAAAGGATTTTATCTCGCCATGATTTCGGAGCTCCCAATTGTGCGCCGCAATTTCATTTCACGATATTCCCGGGATCTCTGGGAGGTCCTTTTCGGGTTCCAGTTCTATTCGAAGCCCGGGATGGCATCCGCCTCGGAAGAAGAGGAGTTTGTAGCGGAAAGTGCTAAGATACCCCGTGGTCCAGTACTGCCCGCACGATTTTCATCTGATGATACCGGAAGTGCTAGTCAGAGACGATTTCGAGGAGACTCCAGATGCCTGCTAACTGCGTAGAAGTACTTCTATCACGTTCAATCGGAAACTTTGAAGAAAATTCCGGCCCTCCGCGGTCCAGCATACTTCCCGACGCATAAAGACCACGACATCTAGATGAACATCTCCGCGAACGATGCAGCCCCCCGGAGACGCGAGGGAATGGGACCTGTCAACTTGGACAAACGGTTCTGCAAATCAAAATTGAACGTTTCATGAAGTTTGACAGTTTCTCCAATTACCGAAAGTTTGTGAAACTAATCTTACGTACGTTGGTACAAAGTAAAATGTTTTCCCA